TTAGTTATTAGATCTTCAATAAGAAGGTCTTGAAGCTCTTTCTCTTGAATTGTTGTTCAAATTATATCTTTAATTGTTATCACGATTATATCTTTAATTTCTATTTCCTTTATATTAGTCATTTTTCTTAGTTTGGCATTAAGCAATAAAGTATCTATTTTTACTACAGTAATAGTAAGTAGCTTGTAGCCTAGTAGGTCTAGAGGATTTGATATAATTAGTTTTCTTAACAGCAAGTTGTTTTTTGTGTGAGATTAATGCTTAGTTAGGCAATTTGTTTAGTCAAAGTCTTGATAGCTTAGTCTGTTTCAGTATTCTTGTTAGATGCTATTATATGTTTAGTTTTCTATTTCTTTATACTAGTTATAGCAGTATTTAAAGTAGCAGACTCTGATAATTGTATATTAATAGTATATTCAGAATGTAGTTCTTGGATAAAAAGTTAAATAATAAAAGTAGCAGATAAGGTATTTGCTTTATTAATTTTCTTTTTCAATTCTCTAAACCTATTCATATATATATCTACAGTATCATTACCTTGTTTAATCTCAAAAAATTGTTTTTGTCAGATAGCTTTCTGTTTAGAGATATAAATCTAGTTTAAAAAAAATATTTGAAGCTTCAGTTTTAATAGATATTATTATTGAAAGTATTAGAAATAAGATTAAGAGTAGTATACTAATCAAGAGCAATTCTTTTAAGATAAACAGAAGCAAGTTCAAGTTTCTTAGTATTGTTCTATCTGTTTATAGTAGTAGCTCTTCTAAATTCTTCAAACTATTCTTCTAGATCTTGGGTTTTATCTTCTCAAAAGTATTTAACTTTAATGAGGCTTTTCTCAAATCCTTGTCTTAAAGTATTAGCAAGGTTAGTTATTGCTATAGTAGCAGTAGTCAAAATAACTTCAGCTATTGCAGGTTGTTGTTGTAATAGAGGTAGAAGGTTTATAGATAGTAGTAAATTAAGAAATGAAGGAGATATAGTAAGGTCTTCAAATATTAATAAAGTATCAACTAATAGTTAAGGACTTTCTAGTTCAGAGTATACCAAAGTTGTAAAAGGGTTTTACTAATAGGAGTAGTATTCTGATTCAAGATAGTAATCGTACTGAGTATAGTATATAGAATTAAGAGTAGATACATTGTAGTAAGTATATTGAGCAAAGAGTTGACTTATAATTTCTCAGGAGTTGTAGTTGTTATCTCAATAAGTATAGCTGAATATAATATCTCAACAGAGAGTTTTAGTAGTAGTTGAGTTATGTATCTGATCTAGGTTATGAAATAAGTCTTAGGTTCTTCTACTATAGATTAAAGTATTATAGGTTTATTGATACTAGTTCCAAAATCTTCCAAAAGATTAGCATCAGCTTGTTTTTCTTGTTGAGTAGTAGTCAGTACAAGTTAAGTCAGATGCAAGTACTTGAATAACTAAGACAACTCTGTAGTCATCAGTTAAGTATTCTTTATGATAAGTTTGAGTAGCTTCTTAGTGAAATTGCTATATAGTATAATTTATATAACTTGGTACAAGTTTTTCTCTTATCCTAAGAGATATTTTTTAATCAATAATTTATTTCTTCTTTGTAGTCTAGGAATATTTTATCTGATTATCTTTTTGTTATCTTCTAGAAATGTTATTTCTAGGTATCTTATTTTTCTTTAAAAATTATTTCCTTTTTTACTTCTGAGAATATTTCATCTAAGTATTTTATTGTCTAGAAATTTTTCTTCTAAGAATAAAATTATTTATGCCTATACTTTAATTATGAGTATTCATTTTAGAATTCTTACTCTTTACTTTTAATAAGTAAAGTACTCTTTTCTTAGTTAAGGAATATTTCTTCTGCAGTAGGTTTTCTTTTTTAGCAATATTTCTTTAGCTTTCTACTAGAAAGCACTAAATGTTACAGATAGCATAGCCTTTTTAATATACTATAAGTAATAGTGATATAGCTATCTAATTACTTTAAGAAGTAGTATCTAAGAAGGAAGTTTCTTTAACTAATTATAAAATCAAGTTTCATTCTACAAGAGGCAGTTCGTTTAGGTTTATTTAATAACAATATATTTATTAATTATAAATATTTAGAGTTAAGTATAAGAAGGAAAAGAAGTTAAGATCTAAACAACTAAAGAGCAAGAGGAAGAATTCTACTTGTATTTATAACTTTTAGCAAGTATCATATAAGTATTAGCAAAGCATCATATAAGTGACTTGTGCAAGTATCACTTAAGTATTTATGCAAGTGATAGTTAAGTATCACTATTAATAGTTTAACAAGTAAGAGACACAGTACTTAGCATAGTTCAGTATAGTCTAGCACAGTCTTTTAGCACAGTTCAGCCTAGTATTGACACAGTATTTAGTACAGTTTTCAGCAAAGTATTCAGCATAGTTTAGCACAGTATTTGGCATAGTTCAGCACAGTTTTAGTATAATAATTTCTTGCTACAATCTATATTTTTTTCAAATATTATATAAAAACTTTAGATGTAGCTTATATCATCATATAGCTGATATTATTAGCTACAAAGTTACTTAAGGGCATTTTTTACTATAAATACTTCTTGAGATACTTTACTTAGTAGTAAATATTTACAATAATTTTTTCTACTCTAAAATATCTATACTAAAATAATATAATATAAGAAATAACTAAATACTAATAAATATAACTAATAATATAACTAAAATATAATAATAATAATAAAAATAACTAAAAATCTATTCTATAACACTATAAATAATTTTATTTTTTATGCCTTAGTACAGGCTATAATAGTATGTTCTATCTTAATTATCTTTTTTTCTATTTTCTTTTTCTTCTTTTATTTTCTTTTTGTACTTTTTTTTTTTTTTATATAGGCAGTATTTTTTTATATTTTGTTATTTTCCTTTTTATTTTTCTTGTTATTTATTTTTTTGATTAGTTAGTTAGAATACAAATTCTTCAGATTAGGAAGCTAGAAGAAGAAGGTTAGAGAATTAGGTAATCTTAATAAGAACAGTATATAGTAACCTTCTATTGATGATTAAATATAACTTTGTTTAGACAAACTGTTCTCTTAGAAAAAAAATTTAACTTTTGCAATTAGATTGTATCTAAGTACTATTTAGTAGTCAAGTAAGTTTGGAATTACATAAAAAAGATATTTATGTAGCTAGCTTTGTTTAGTTTATATTTATATTATAACATAATTATTATGTTTTCTCTCAATAAATGAAGAGCAAGATCATCTAATTTCTAAAAAAATATAATATTAATAATACAAAACTATTTATTAGTTTTTGTATTAAGAAAATTCTAATATTAAAAAAATTATAAAAGACAAACCTAATCTGAAGCAAAGAGAAAAAAAAAAATTTATATAGTTTTTAGAAAATGTAGAAAAAGTAAAAAAAATAAATTATACTAAAGTTACTTCTATAATAATTCAAAAACTATATATCTGTAAATATGATTTATAGCTTATTAGAAAAGTCTAATTAAACTAAATCTAATAGTATAACTTAAATCTATTTTTAGCTATTCAGTTTATTAAGAAATTGATAATAATTAAATATATTCAAGAAATTAACTATTTATAATAATACTCAAATATAATAATAAAATAAACTAAAATAAATAAAACTTATTTTATAATAATATAATAATAGAGATCTTCTTCAACCTTCTCTATAGTTGATAGTAACTATTATTTAAATTAGCTAGTAAATAGAAAATAAGAATGTAATATCATATTGAATACCTAACTATTAACAAATAGTCTTAGTAACAACAGTGCATATTAGAAATATATATTAGCTTCACATATATACTATCTTGATATATAAATGTACTAATTCTTTTCCTAATTGATATTATTAATTAATAAAAAAAAAAAAAAACAATATAACAAAATAGTAGTAAATAGAGTTTTAGTAAAAATGAGTTTAAAAATATATAGAAATTAAAGAAAATATTATATAAAATTATATAGTAGAAGTGAGGATAATATTTTAAATATATTTACAATCTTATCATATTCACTACGATAAATAATTTTTTTTATTAAATAAATTTTAAAGTTTATAAGATGTGTTTTTGTTTTTAGATTAATATTCTTTATTAGTCTGTAGTTTATATCAAAAATTTCTAATACAATTTGTGCTGTTAATAGAATATCACTAATTAAATATTATTTAAAACAGCCAATCAAACGAAATAAAGAACGTATTAGTCATAAATGAATACATTTATTATTTGGAAGCCATAAAATGAGGATTATTGATGGAAGAAAAACTTACTGTCTCTCGGACTCACCTTAGTTTACAAGGAAGAATTGATAAACAAATATTACAAGAATAGATGAATATAATACGAGGTATCCCATCATAAACTATTGAGCAAACTAAAGTCAATTCACAGATAATAGCAGAAGGTAGCAATTACACAAATATTATTCAAATGATTTTATACCCTATAACGTGAATGAGCAGAATCAGGTTCCTTCGCCAGAGATTAGTTCTTGGTTGTAGTTACAATAGGGAAATTCACGAATTTCTCCACTTTTACCGTATGGTATACTAGATTCATAATATTTCACGATAGAGCCAAAATCAAAAGCATCAAGAATACTTGACAAAATTGATATAGATTTAGTAATTTTGCAAAATGGAATAATCTAGTACATGGAAAAGTTATTGTATGTGGACCATTTAATATGATAATTACTGTTGAATAAGCTTTGCTTAATATGAACAAGATATGATTATATTAAATTAGATTGTCTTGCTAGATTGTATAGATTTGGTTTAGAGGTCGTACTTATTAGGTTACTTGTAGATTTCAGACTGAATTTCAGAAATAAATGTTTAGGTTTGAAAAGTGTGTATAGGACTTTATTGCGGATATACTAAACTTAAATTTTACAATTTGAAAATAAGATTACAAATATAACTGACATACAGTATATATAAGTACATATAATATTAATTTTCATTTTGCTAAAGTAAAATCATGAATCTTTAGAACAAGCATCTATGATACTATTTACTATATTCATTGGTCCATCATCGACCACAACAATATCGAAAGTTTCTAAATAGATATTTATAAAATGCTCAACCTCATGATTTAAGAAACCGATAGTCAAACAAGTCTCGTGCTGAATTCCGTCAGCCATATGTATATCACCAACAGAATCGCCCAGTAAAATAACATTTCCGCGATTTTTTATAGTGGCATAATAAGGGCTTTTCTTAATCATAATCTCACTTTTGTTGAAAATGTGAATAAGAGGTTCTTCAAAATGATCACATATTCCAGTTTCAGGATTAAACCCCATTTGATTAGAGACAATATGCATATTATCAGGATGATTAAGGTTCTTCGCGATAAGGACTTGTTCAATGACATCTTATGGTAAATAATAACAAGAATGGTAAGTTTTATAAATTATTATTGAATTTAAGTAGTCTAAGAAAAATAATGTAATTACTAGCAATTCCGGCAGAAAATATTAAGAACGGTATATTATTATTCTTGCATTTTTCAATTAATACATCCAGTCCTGGTCTCATTTCTACAGGAGTTTCTGCTACCATATCTTTTATATCGTTTTTATTGATATGTTGATTTATTAAAAGTTCATGAGCCTTTTCCCACCATTCAACCATGAAGGGTGTTTTTTCTTCTCTTGTTAATGTTTTATCTAATTCTATTGGATAATAAAAATCACATAGTCTATCCGTTTCCTTTTTGAACTTAATTAAAATATATATTAGCAAACTTAAATATTGAATTCAACATTTGATTGTTTTAAGCGTACAAACTTCTTCGGTCAAGCGGGAACTTGAAGACAATATCTTATGTGAGCCTGAGCTACACTCCATTTTATGAAAAAAAAAATACGAATATGTTTAAACAAAAAAATTTATAAAAAAAAAAAAAAAAAAAAAAAAAAAAAAAAAAAAAAAAAAAAAAAAAGGATAAAGAAAAAGAAAAAAAAAAAAAAGAAAGAATGCCATTTTATCCCATTTTTTTTTCTTTTTAAAAAATGTGTCAGATAAAATATATACCACAAACAACTTGTAAGTTTTCAAGACCGTCTTTCACTATCTTTTCTAATTTCCTACGTGTAGCATCGACATTTTTAAGCTTGCAATTTTCTTTAATTATGTCAACCAGAGTTTGAACTTTTTTCTGCAATGAAGACATTTCCACCTTATTGGTATCCTGAGTGAAAAAAAATAAAATTATATCGATATAAAAAGTTTAAAAGGCATTTAACTTTTAAAGGTGATACAACGTTATTTGGAAATATCTACAAAATTATAATGCGTTCGATCATAGTGAGAACATTTGATTTTGATTGGTTTATAAAATCCCGAGTTAACACAATATACCAAATATATATACTATATTGATATTCTACCGCTATAAAAAAAAAACTTTGTATGTCTTGGATTTGCACTACTTTCCGGGATAATTGTTTTACCCTTTTCTGGCACGATAGATTTTGCTCATGCTGCCACCCGATGACCTAAGTCATAATATTTTTTTTTAATATGACCTTAGTCATACGTATAACCATATGACTTTTTAGTCATAGGTCATATTAAATGAATTTTGCATAAGCATATAGTGAAGATCACTAATCAATTTTTTTAATAGTGATTTTTCCGATTTTTCCGAAATCACTATTTCTTATTAAATTATTATATTTTCAAATTCTGTAAACTATGAATGCCTTATTAAACATATATTCAAAAAGTAACAATGATATATTTTACATATGATAATATAAAAATTATAATAGTTAGGATTTTATAGTTACTCACATGAGGATCATTTATTGGTTTTACCATCATACTCCATACAACTGTATAAGCTAAGTATAAAATTCAAACCATTATAATTTTTTTACTAGTAGATGTAAAATCTAACGTTGTTACTTTTTGAACATATGTTTCATAAAGCATATAAAGTTTACAGAATTTGAAAATATAAAATACTTCGAGAAATAAAAAATACTGCGATATCACTTTTCTATAAGTTAATAAGAAATAGTGATTTCGGAAAAATCGGAAAAATCACTATTAAAAAAATTGATTATTTCACTACGTATATTTGTGATAAAACCCGATATGAGACACCCCAATATATGGTTGTGATCGTCTAATCGCTATATTGACTAACAACTGTTGAAATACGACCGCTTGATGCTACAACCTTCCACTCTGAAACGCAGGCTTGTGACTCTCTTAGAAGAATTTAAACGGGCTAGACAATCTTGGACTGATCTCAATGATGAAGGTCTTACTTTAGCAAATACATTGGTTAATACAAAAATACAAGAACGGTATATAGTAATTTCTAATAATAATTCATACAAATTATGAAAGATAATGAATTTTTATTATGCCGAATATAGACATACAGATAATCCATCAGATTGGACGCCAGAATTAAATGATTTCACGAGCTTGAATAACGATCGAAATATTCTTGATGAAAAGATTGTCCCTTTGAAAGAATCACTTCAAAAAATCATCAACAAAATGGTACAATTTAAATAGTTTCAAGGACATTAATTGAATTATTTCACAATATTAATTTCATAAACGATTTCAATTAGACCAAACAGCTTACAAAAATGAAAATGCAGATTCTTCAATTAGAATTCCTTCTTGAAGAAGCATGTGAGAGCATGGGTGAAGAATTCGTTTACAATAACCCATTATATTTATCATGTACATTGGAAACGTTTGGCAAGTTTGCATTATTTAATTGCAAATTTTGTTTCCTCAGATAATGGTAAAGCAAATAATAAAATATTAACTGATTATTTTTTATTTAAATTTATTAGTTGAATTTTCTATTAATATTTTCAATATGTTTACTCGAGAAATGGATCTTAAACAAAAAATAATTTTATCTCTTGAATTGGAATTAGAAAAACAACAATTCATAGTAATTCTATCAACATGGTTAAATCAACCATATATTGATTTTGATAAAATAATAGAATTTGAAAATATTTGCGAAATTGAAATTCAAAATAAGAAAGAAAATTACATATCAAATACCGGATAGGCGCGAAATAACCCATTACCGGTAGTGCATTATTTTGGTATGTCCATGTGGGTTATTTCGAAATAAAGTGACAACTTTTTGATTTGAAATTCTAAAATAGCGCACATGCACTATTCAAATTTTAATTATAGATGATATTATTCAAAATTACTATACTTTTAATTGTCTAAATTACATTGTCAAAAATCTGCAAATATGAATAGTCAGAACGGAATAAGTAATAATATTATCATAATACAGTTATTAATATAAAGTCTATTATGATTACATCAAAATTTATGATCACTCTGTCATTTTTTTACCAATGAAATTGGAAAATGACACGCTAATGAATCATAACATATCCGCTATTATTGCTTCAAACCTACATTATTTTTATCAGAATTAATTCTATCAAGCTTTTTATATCATTCATCCTTCATAATTATTTCCTTCATTTACTATGTTATTTACCTCATATCCATCTGAATTCTCTCGCGAAATATCTATGGTGTCTCGAAAAGTAACTGCAAGATATTCTAAGAATACAAATCTTTATTGTAAATCGCGAAACTTCACCATAAATTCTTCTACTGTCCAACTTATTAATTAATGTTCATCCGAAAACTGATTACTAAAACACTAAAATAAAGAATGTAAATTCAGAACTCTGAGTATTAATAAGCACAATGATAAAAAAGAAAAAACTTACGCGAGTATATAATTTCCTTTGTACTGCGTCATCAATTAATTCTTTCCAATGTGGATCTTTTTCAAGAGTTTGTCGATTCCCAAGAATAAATAACGATGATTTAGCACGTGTTAATGCCACATTCATTCTTCTTATATCTTTAAGAAATCCAATATTATTTTTTCTCTTAGCACGAACACATGAAAAGACGATAATATCTTTTTCTTTCCCTTGAAAACCATCTACAGTATTGAACTCTATTTTTTTGTATAGATCATCAGGAATTTTTTGAGCGAATAATCGTTTTATTTCAGAAAGTTGTCTTTTATATGGCGTAATTACTCCAATTCGATCTTTAAAATCGATTTCTGGAAAATTTTTTGTGAGCATTGAAACTAATCTAGCAGCAGTATTTGCTTCTTCTTTATTATAAAAAGAATTTTGATCTCGTCCCATTGTACCTAAAACATCAAAAAATCTATAAGGAGTAAATATTGGCTTTGCATGCCAGACCTGAGTTCGTAGTTTTTCTAACCCTATTGCATTCTGTAATTGAGAACCGTAAAATAATTTGCTAGGACCTTGACAAATCTCTGGATGCATTCTATATTGCGTCTTCAGCATATGTACTAAATCAGGTACACCCCTTTGAATTCTGCTAAATAAGCTTTGTTCATAAAAGTAATCGGTAGCAACTTTACTTAGAACTGTTGGTGGTAATTGATTACTATCACCAACAAGAACGCACCAGATTGGATTAAACTTCATAGGTATAAGAGATGTCAATTCAATCGCTTGCGCCGCTTCATCAATAATTACAGCTTGAAAAGTAAAATCTGCTAACATGTCATGACCACTTCCAGTCAATGTCGCACAAATAACATCCGCTTCTTGAAGTTTTTTGATAATTTGTTGTGACTTTTCATTTTTATTACCTTGAATTTTCGGATCACTTGTCTCTTCATCAGTACTGCTATCAAATTTTCCAAATCGAACAACATTAATTTTAATAAGTTTACCGTCAGAATCATAAATGCCCCCCTGAAGTCTTTTTTCAATTTCATCAACAGCAGCGTTGGAGGGTGCACAAGTCAAAATTTGTGATCTATAAACATCTGGAATTGATCTCAATTCACTTATAATACTCACAATTGTACTAGTTTTACCAGTTCCTGGTGGTCCTTGAATTAATGAGATATTATCTTTATTATTTAAAACCTTCCATACTGCCTCAGCCTGAGATTCATTGATTCGATATATTTCAGTATATCGTTCCAATTGAGCTCTTGGGCATTGTAAATAAGTAAGGTGTTTGGGTCGCATAATCAAATTGATGAATTTAAAATATGGCGACGCCATTAATGCCGCATATTCACGTGCCGTAGTTGTCAAACTATAATTAATCATAAAAGTAATTAAAATATGTAAATGCAATACAAAAAAATCTGAAATAAAATTTCCATACCTTATTACTTTCTTGATCGTCCATGAACTCTGTGGCCTCAATTGACCTCTTAAGTTAAGAGGATCATCATTGAAATAACATTGCACATTTAACTTATTGAAAGAAATACTCTTTACTATAGCGAGAAAGTTTATAGGTTTCGTAAAATTTGAAAAGGATCCTTTACCATTATCAGCTGGCTTTATCATTATAAGATCATTTTCAGACAGACTTTTGAGTTGCCCAGAGTCAATGGAATGACATTCCACTTCTATAAAATCATCAACCGACACACTACTATCGATAGTAATAACATAAGAATCGCTATCATCTATTTCTTCTTTTGCTGAGATAAAATTTTGCCATAATTCAAGTATTAAAAGTGGTTCAAAAATGTCTATGTATTCTTCAACTTTCTTAAAATGATCTGGGATATGTTTATATTTATCGTTGATTATATTTGGAGGTCGATCACCAGTAGAATTCATATTCCATGTCAAAACTTTCTTGTGGAGGCTTTTTAAATTCGGTCTTAGCCTTCTCATATCTTCTTTTATTTTTTGCAGTTGTACAACTCTATCTTGTTGTTTATTGTCTTGTCGAGCTCTGTGATGTGAGATGACATCACTGAGGTTGATTAATTTCGTTTGCCGAGATGGTTGTATAGGCTTAGGCTGCACATCATTAAATTCCATAAGATTAATGGGACTTTGGGTATCTGAGATAGTGTTAGATTTTTGGTTTGACGTCTTAAGTTCGCTTGCAAGATTTTGCCTCTCTTTAACAAATTTGTCTCTCATTTTACTTATTGTGCCACCTTTTTTAACAGATAATCTTTTACTCGGCATATTCATTGAAATTGGCTTTCTCTTATTCGAAGGCTTAAACGCTGTTGATTGCGGTTTGTTTCTCAAAAAAAGTTCTGATGATTCCGAAGATTCAGAATCCAAAATACTTGGAGTTGAAAATGTCGAGTTATTTAACGCTGGCATTTGGTAGGGAACGGCATTGAGAGATAACATTTCATTAACAAAAGAAAGACATTGGCTTTTAAGCAAAACTCTATGAAACATTTTATTTTCATTAGAGATTACACTTTTGAGTTCCGAACTTAATGTTGAGTCAATTTTAAGGTCATGTCTTTTCAATACTTTTAATGCCACATCCAAAGATTCAAGTGCCAATTCACAAGGCCACGAAGTCTTTTGAAATGAATACAACAAATATTTCAAGAGAATGGGCACGATGCTTATCGAAGATTCTACAAGTGCCAGAACCCACTCTAATAGAAGCGCACATTTTTCTGGATGGGAATCTACAGCTTTGCGAAAAGTTGTGCTTTTAAATATTTTTATCAATAAACCCTGTGAGGATAACGATGTGTGGTTCCAAAATTCAGCCTTAATGGTCCTCAGAAGAACCTGTAAACATTTTATAATTTCAACGAACTCGCTTCCTAGTTGATCTTGATTGTAGATAGTAGTGACGACCAAATCGCAAATTCCAATAGGTTCATGGCACAACCTGAAGATAATTGTAGACGAATCTAAGTTACATAATATTCTCCTAAGGCCTCCCCAATATATTTTGAGGTTCTTTGTGAACGAATATTCTTGGAAATGAAAACTTTTATCATCCCAATCCTTAAGGTAACGAATTACACTCTGTAATAGATCATAATATCCGTAAACATCGAAATCTTCTAATTTTACTAAACCCTCTAATTGAAACCCTTGCATTATTTTCCAGAATAATTGCCTGAGATCATCATTCTCATAAACAGATAAAATAATCATTCCGGGCAAAAAGCCCTTATACATTTGTTTTAAATGATTCTGTGGGATAGATAAAATCAAATCAATATAGAGAGAACTAATCAAACGGTCAATAAGTAAAGAAGGATTGAACATAATCTCTGATAATATTGCAGTAACTGAATTTAATTTCAGTATATCTGATGTCGGGTTTTCTAAATGCTGTTTCAACTTTTGTAGAGCGTTATAAACACGACATCTATCCCAGGTTTTTATGGTGACATCAAAAAGCGCATTTACAGCAGTCGTATTTTCAAATACATTGAGGTATCTGTGCAAAACAAAAGAAATGACGTGAAATGATTATATATGTTAAAGACATTTACAATTTAATAAGTGAACTTGCCTTTGTCGTAAATCTTCTTTATAGACATAATATACTTCAACACAGTCAACACAATTAGACAATTGATCGACCATTACATTTTTAAATTCTTCGATCTGTTCATTTGTATAGTCCAACGCGAATAAATGTAATAATTCAGTCGTAATTTCCACGAATTCTTCGCTGCAAAACCAATGAGCTGGAACATTATCTTTATGGCAAGCCAAAAGATAACTCGGGCCATATTCTAAGAAATTTTTTGTGCCTTCGATTTCTTGATTTTGTTTTTGATGAAGAAATCCAAGGACGTCTTCAAGTGTAATCTCTATTTCCATTTGTTTAGATGACATATTATAACTCAACCTTTAAGCCTGCTATCTCAAGAAAATTAACAATAAACTTTTCAGATCATGTTTAAAGTTATCGTATTAAAAAATTACTTACTTCTCGAACAGAATGTAATAGAAAAGTAGCACTAATAAAGTGAAATTTACTGCATATGAGTAAGACAAGATTACTGGAGCTTTTAAAGATAATCCTTGTTATCAGTTATTATATGTGTCCTTACTCTACACTTTTTAGAAAGAAAAATAAAAATTTCTATATTCTGTTAAAGGTTGTGATTGAACGAGGTCTCTATTTCCGTCACTATTTGTGCTGAGTTTCTAGCGTGACCTCACTATACTAGGTCATAGTTCTCCGTCACTAATGGAGTGGAAATGACCTTGACTATGAACTGCGAAGCAGTTTGAGGGGGTGTTTTTTTTTGCAATTAATAGAGAAAACGACGCTATGTTCAAAAGGACCCATTGCTACACGAAAGTTCGTGATAATCGGCCAATCAAATCTCGAAAAAATAAAAAAGATAGCGAAAACGAAGTAAAATTTAAATTTTATGCCTTGAAGCGCCTTGACGCATTGCGAGTAGAAATTACATCTTTATTAAGTAGTAATATGAGTGTAATTTTTACAATATATGGGAGAATTTACAATTTTTTTTTTTGAATCTGTAGCTCAAAATAAAGAAATTTTTTTACTAAGTAAATTAAAAGTTCTAGAGATGGTTTTCACGGTTCTAATGATAGTTAAATCGCTAAAATTAACCCAATATATCGATATGGGGTCTTTCCTTGAAAATGGCCTTACGGGACATAGTAGATCATATGACCAAAACTTGATTTTTCAAGGCAAAGACCCCATATCGCGAGATGAGTATTTAGATCGCGACCATATAAATTTGCAAATCTGCAAAGAAATTTTTCATGAAGATTTAAATTAGGGATGTTATTCTGTTTATCGAACTCAGTTCGTCAAAACGCAAAATTTATTCGGCTAAAATTTTGAATGCTATAGAGTTATTGAATGTGTGAAGTGTCCAGTACTGACTGGTTCCATAAGTAGCTCTCTCACAAAAAAGTTTTTCGTGATTGAACTAATTACTGCCATACGATATAAAAAGTTTTTAAAAATCATTACAATGAATGAGTCTATTAGTGGTTGGTAATATATAATAAATTTTGATACAGTTAAAATGCCTGATATCAGAAAAATCATAATATTTCAAATATAGTGAGACGTGACTATTTTTTTTTCTCCTACTTTTTTTCTTACTTTTATTCTTCTTATTTCTATTCCTACTGTTATTCGATTTTTTTTCAATCACTTTTATCGGCTCAGCTACACCTTGTTCTTTTGCATGAGCTTCCTATGGTATCAGCTCGCCAGTATCCTCAATGATGGCACATATATTTTCCGGATAATAGACAAGACCTTCCTTCAGATTTCTTCCATGTATTTGTCCATTTCATTCCATTTGAACATAATACCATGATCATCTAACGTCAAAATAACCATCCCAGAATGGTCTATAAACACTGGGCGAACACCAGTAATACCAAAAGTTTCACTAAAATACTCTCTATATTCTGGATGAAATAACGCCTCGTCTGCATTTTCATGGTACCCATGAGCAGTGTTGTACGTTTTGGCATGTCCAAAGCTTTCTTGGACATGTCCAACGTCCAAATGTCCAAGTGTCCAAAGTGTCCAAGCTGTTTATAGCCTTAAATATTTTAGTAATAGAAATAAAAATTATATGATTATATTCTTTATTTAATTCTAAACATGGTTATCTTAATAAATTTTCGAATAAATTCACTTTATTTTTTTGTCCAAAGGCTGTCCATGTACATCACTACCCATGAGGATGATTCTTTAATTGTTCCATCCTTTCTGCATAGTGGTATAACTTTTCTCGTCTATACTGATATTATTCGGGATTTGATCGGTAGTTCTGGCCTCCTCCACAATAAGCAGGTCCATGGATTGGTCTCCGAGCAGTTTTCGAAATCTCATCCTTTTAACATTGAAATTATTTTTCTGATCTCGTGGAAAGAGATATACTTCGTTCATCTGTCGGATCTTATTAAAATCAGAGTTAGTAGAATTGTTCATTGTGACGCTTCCTGTAATAAATATCAGCCAAAAAAAAAAAAAAAAAAAAAATTATGTAAATGTTACCAAAAAAAAAAAAAATTCTATTGGTACAATGGACCCTGACCAGGCAGGTCCATTGATCTCATTGAAAGTCATACTTCAATAGATTAACAGTTATAATATAAATAAATACATATCAGATATTAATGATTGCTTCGGAAAAAAGTAATATGAATGAATTTTTTCAATAGCAAATTCAGAGCAAGGGAACTTCAGAGTACAATACTTTTACTCAAAACTTTCGAAGATTGGAACTCAAAATTTATTACAGATGAGCTGCTTCGATCGTTGTATACATATTATCGTTGTTTACAAAAAGGTGTGACCCATTGGATAAATGAATTAACAAAATTTACTAGATTATAAAATTCTCCTCGAATTTGTCGATTATACCATCAGATTACTAATTTCACGAATTCCTTAAAAAATATTTAATAATTTGATAACAAAAAATGATCATAACCTGTATTTAGATTGTTAGGAATCGTATACAGTTCAGATGACAGAATACAATTTATCGCTATCTCTATGGAAATTATGGCATACAAAATAATATATGTGAAAGACCAATATTCAATGAACATCGTCAGCTAAAGCGAAGCGTGTTTATATGTAGATCGACCAACCGAATCACAAGAAATGACAATCTAAACACACCTTGAAGTATTAGTAAAAATGTTGTGAAGGCAATTTTATCTAAACTCTCACTTTAATCCTAATATTCATTAAAAAAAAAAAAAAAAAGTTCTACTTAAAATTCACTCCGCTTTATCCGACCCCCATAAATGTTTAAATTTTATAGTGTCAGTATAGATCGATATACCGCGAGTGATTGAAGGTAAATGAATCTTATTAATTATATTTATTGTATGTTCTATTTTCATTACTACAGTTTTCCAATTACATGTTATCTAATACACTTCAATTGTGCTAATATGAGTTGATGTAATTTTTATCATGACTTTCCGGATTTAAATTCCTTAATGCCTATATCCGAAAGCTATCAGGGCACAAAATTTCCGAATGCCGGAAGCTGCTTTTTCTCCGGCGGTGTTTATTTTAACCAGAACTTAGAAAACTCAGCTGGATGTAGCAGATTTTTAATAATATTTATTTATTAATATTTATATATACATACGTAAATATGATATCATATTCGGAAATTTTCCGAATGATGAAAAGTCAAGGCGGAAATTGTCATGACGAAACGGAAATCTCTGAAATTTTACAATAGCGATAGATTTTGTGCATAATTTTTCCAACTACATACAGTACACGTCACTGTCAAATGTCGATATAACATATCTCAAATATGACATTTAAACCTATGACATAATTTTTTTTTAACCAAGACATAACGATAAAGCTAGTGCGGATTAGACTTAGGGCTAATAACAAATAGTTGTATTACTTTTTTTATTTAATGTTGTAAATTGCCTGGTCGGAATCCATGGTAACATTTACGTAGCTTTTTTTTTGACTGATATTTATTACAGGAAGCGTCACAATGAACAACTATACTAACTCTGATTTTAATAACCATCTTTATGCCTAATCAAGATCCGACAGATGAATGAAGTATATCTCTTTCCAAAAGATTAGATAGTAAAAATAATTCCAATGTTTGAAGGATGAGAGGTCGGGAACTGCTCAGAGACAAATCCATGGACTTACCTATTGTGGTGGAGGTCAGAACTACTGATTGAATATCAATACGGACGAGAAAAGTTATGCTACCATGCAAATGCAAAAACTGCCGGAATTGTCAGAAATGATGGAACAATTGAATCATCCTCGCGGGTACCATGAAAATACAGACGAAGCATTATTGCACCCATAATATAGTCTTTTAGTGAAACTTTTGGTATCACTGGTGTTTGTCCGGTGTTTGTAGACCATCATGGGATGGTTATTTTGATGTTAGATGATCGTGGCATTATGTTCAAGTGGAACGAAATGGAACAAAGCGTGCGATATATAGGAAGAAACCTGAGGAAGATCTTGCGAACCTCCTCTATTATCCGGAGAAAATATGCGCCATCATTGAGAGCACTGGCAAGCTGATACCCCTAGACGAATGGAATGCTCTTATAAAAAAAGAAGGTTTAGTTAAGCCGATAAATGTGATTGTATATTCGAAATATTATGATTTTTCTGATATGACATGTAATTTCTTTAAATGAAAAATATATACATCAGAATGAATTTGTATTATCTTGCAGATTATGAATATCATAAAAAATAAAAGTTTTTAGTATTGCTTCTGATTATGAGTTTTATTATTGATATTGTAATGAAAATAAGAAACTAGAAAATCATATCTGTCTCAGGTCATGAAACCTTACACAATTAGTGTGATAAGCTAGTCTTCGAGAACAATGTTTCTGATAAAGAATTTATAAATACTGCACACAACACCCGCATACACACAAGTTAAAAGTGTAGCTCAGGCATTAGTTAATAAAGTTAGACAACAGCTTCCTAGCTCAGTTAATAAGACCTTACTACGAAAGAGAAAAAAGATAGTTCAAAATATTATAATTTATTTAGTGAGATTGGTGAAAATAGGATCCAACCAGTTAATATTTATAGTATCATCGATTTCGAAACCAAGTCAAGATGAAAATTGACTATATTTGTTCATTTTTCTCAGAATAATATTTACAATATATCTCAAAATTTTATCTAATACGTAAAAAAATGTTAACGAAATTTTACTATATATCAGATATTCTTATTAATAAATTATAGTTATTGTAAGCTTAAAAAAGCACGGGTTGTTACATAGAACCCGTACAATAAATGATTTTTAAACGTTATAACGTAAAAAATGGGCATGGCGAACAATGGTTCAAGTGCTTGTGTACGAGCTACTAATAATATAAAACCAATAATAAACCCCTTTTCAGATTTTAGATTCTTGGACAATAGTTGAAATCAAATTATCGCTGTTTATATAACGCGATGTCACCCTCGATTTTTCTTATATTTCCTAGTGCACTAGCAATAAGAAATCTAAATCCACATACACAAAAAAAACACGATAGAATCTCAGATAACCCCAGTGATCTTTATTGAAATAATTGAAAATGAAACTCTAAATTAAATTGAAATGATCCTTCATTTTAGTTAAATAAGTTTCGTGATAACAAATCTGGCCGATTCTTAAGAAAATTATGATGACTATGCTATTTCAAACGTGTCGGATTTACCATTGAATATAAACGGAACATCAGCTCACGGCTTGATACTAAAAGTATTATAAAAGAGTTTTAAGATAGCCAGACCACAATTTTAAATATTGAAGTTAAACCTTTAATAAATTACTTAATACTAATCTTAATAAGAAAAGACAAATTATGTACGTAGCCACTGAGACAGATAGGGTTTTTTAGTTTTCATTTCCATTACAAGATCAATAATATAAAACTCATAATCAGAAGCAATACTAAGAACTTTTATTTTTTTTTTACGGTATTCATAAACTGCAAGATAATACAAATTCATTTTGATGTATATATCTTTTTCATTTAAAAGAAAATACCTATGATATCAAAAAAAAAAATCATAATATTTCGAGTATAGTGAGACGTGATTATTTTTTCTTCTTATTTTTTTTCTTCTTTACTTTTATTCTTTTTATTTCTATTCCTACTTTTTTTTTGGCTCAGCTGGACTTTTTTCTTCTGCAAGAGCTTTCACTACTTTGCGGGTACCAGCTCTCCAGTGTTCTCAAAGATGACACATATATTCTCTGGATAAGAGAGGAGGTTCGCAAGATTTCTTTCCATGTAATGCATGCTTTGTTCCACTTGAATATAATTCCACGATTATCAATATCAAAATAACCAACCCAGAATGGTCTACAAACACTGGGCGAACACCAGTAATACCAAAAGTTTCACTAGAATACTCTCTATCTTCTGGACGAAATAACACCTCATCTTGTATTTTCATGGTACCCGTAAGGACGATTCTTTAATTATTCCATCATCTTTGACAACTCTGGCAATTTTTTCATGGTGGCATAACTTTTCTCGTTCATACTGGTATTGTTCGGAATTTAATCAGTAGTTCTGGCCTCCGCAGCAATAAACAAGTCCATGCCGATCAGTTCCCGGACTCTCATCCTTCTAAAATCAAAATTATTTTTCCTCTCTGATCTCGTGAAAAAAGATATATCTCGCTCATCTGTCGGATCTTGATCTGGCATAAATATGGTTATTAAAAGCAGAGTCGATAGAGTTGTTTATTGTGACATTTCCTGTAATAAATATAAAAATTTACGCAGTAAAAAAATAACCAAAAAATTTGTTTATTAATAACAAATGCTAAAAAAAAAAAAAAAACTCCGTTGTTATGTGTTAATTTCCTGTAAGACTTAGGATCAATTAACAATTTAAAGTAATAATAATTCAGGGTACATTCTTAATGTTCTGTAACTACATTACGTGTCAGAAAAATTGTGCAAGGCATTTTTCGAAAATTCAAACTACTCATGAAATTCAAAAAAAAAAAGACAAGGGCACCGTTCACCCTACAGGGACGATGATTTTCTGCGGTGACTAACTACTAAGACTAAATTCTGCGTGTGATTAAGACAATTCTATGATTTTAAATGTGATACTTTTTTTGTTGAATTTTATAAGATTCTGCGCTACTTCTGTGATTTTTATACTACTTCTATGTATTACTGTGCCTATTTTTTTTCCTTCCAAGAAATTAAGCTCGTAATTTATGTTTATTAATTATCCATTTTCCCGAAATTTCCCTATATAAATTTGCATTTTTGCTGATATTCTGTGCTGAATTTTTTTAGGATTCTGTGCTATTTTTGTGTGATTAGGGTCTATTTCTGTGTTTGGCAGTTTTTTTCTGAAATTCTGTGGTTTTCTTTAATTAAAAAATCGTATGCTTGTTTTGATTTGAAAAACATACGATAGTTTTGATTATTAATCGAATTAAAGATCTAATAAAATTTTTCAAACTTTTCAAAGTACTAGTTTGCTATTCTTCTTCAGCGTAGGCCATATCTTTCCTGTTTAAGATCTACTGGTTCTGTAAGAGGAATTTATTATGAACTTTTCTTGGAACTATCAGCGAAGAAGGTTTCTAGAGAGAGGTTCTTTTGCAAATAGGTAGTTACCTGCAGAAGGTGAAAGTGATTCCTTGCGAATGGTTGTACCTCAGCTTACTCACATTACGCTCCAAGGTGGAAGAAACCAGTAAGCTTTAAAGAACAACCTACTCTTAGTAGGAATGTACTAGGAGAGATGGGGTTGGGGTATTACCGTGAGTGTTTATCGGACAAACGCAACTCTTTAAGAAGTTTGATAAAAAAACTAGTAATACCTTCTCAATTACAGAATTAACGAATTACACCTCTACGTGGTGGTTGGGACAAGTAAGAAATTTTCTCTTAAACCAAGTATCTCAAAATACTAAAAAAAAATTTTAACTGGGGAACGTCTTTATTTTTCGACGATTAAGGTAAGATGACATATTAAACTCGTCATCGATCTACAGTATATATTATCTGGGAAAACCTTGAACCTGTATATTATTAATACATATGCCGGTTCGAGGTTTTCCCTTGCCGGCACTCATATTATTTAACTGTCATTTTTTGTAATCCGATTGGTCAATTTCAAGTATCGTGACCTCGACTCTATTCTTTAATTTGAAATTAGTCAAACGTAAGCAAAAGAATATTTCTTATTTTGCCAAAATATATATAATCTAGTAATATTCTTGTATAACTTAGGATATGATTGTATTATCAAATTTGATTAATTAATTTATAGATACCATATAACATTTAGCCTTTCTTTAGTCATTAAAATAAACTTTAGAAAAATATTTATCAATTGAAAAAAAACTGATTTTTTTTTTATTTAAAATTACAATACATTCAGAATTATGCCAATTTTTTTTTTTTTTTTTTTTTTTAATCTCGATAGTATGTAAAGTAGTCGATTTATAAAGAATATATGAGAATACATATATATGCATAAAGTACTTATAAATGATTTTAATTATTTCAAGTTTTCCAACCGTAGTTCATACCATTCTATTTACATAATCTACAATAAATTTTACTTATATATGCGTTCTCTTAGTTCTTATACAATTTTCGGCATATGATGGATTTTTGAATTATTTTTGAAAAAATTACTACTGTAATTTTTAATTGTTTTTTTTTTTTTTTTCCTAGAAATCGACATATTTTACAAGCTAACTTATATTTTTTGATCGTTTTTTTTTTTTTGATATGGTGTGTATAGATTTTGTTTTAAGTTAATGGAGTGTATAGATTTTTTTTTCGGACAACAGATTAATGAGCTAGGATATTATTAATGCTCATAACGTTGGATTTATTATTATTAGCATTACGATTACCAAATAATATAGTCCCCAATTGAGTAGAAAATGAGACCAATTCATTTGTTTCCATTTTTGAAAAATCAATAGCATTAGGGCCAAAAGGTAATGAATTTGTGGAGGGAGCCAAATTAGAAGGATTAGGTTGATTTTTAACTTTCGGAGTAGAAGTGACGGTTATATTAAGATTTTGAATTAACTCTTCTAATCTATTAATTCTAGCGCTTAAACAATTAACATCATCATCACCTTTTACGCATAAAGAACAATGATGATTATTATTGCTTGTATTTTTTGTTTTATTACGAGCAGATTGAGATCGAGAATAAGGAAATGTAGAAGAACGATTGAAGGCAGTGAGAGGTCTTCTATCAACGATTTCACTAGGTACAGTTGCTCTTCGAGATGAAGTTTTGTTGGCTTTAGTCATTTTTTTTTTTTTTCAAAGGATTTAATAAAATTTTAATCAAGTAGATTTAGCTTTTAAAAAATAAGCAGTATATTTCTTTTTCGAAATTAACTTATTGGTGAGTGGTTGTGCTGAGTATTTATAGTTTTTTTTACAATGAAAATCATTTCCTTTAACATTATTGGAATAATACGTCAATGATATTTTTAGATTAGCTTAAAAAGGAATGATCATCAATTATATTATAAAAACTACGTACTTGTTTCATCATAATCATCAATTATATTATAAAAACTACGTACTTGTTTATCATATCAAAAATACGTATACGTATTTTTACTATAAACTGAAAAGATTGAATAGGTCTAATAATTATTCTAATAACAAATTCTTTATAGGCAAAAGAATATTAATTGAATATTAATAGTTTAAAATTTACTAAAGGAGTTCATATCAATATAAGATGATGGAAAAGAAAAACTATAGAATATTCTTTCATGCAGTAGTATGCAATAGTGATCGCCGATTAACATTTAATTTTAAAAGTCAGGAGTCATTTCTAAATTACTGAATTTAGTAAAAAAGTTCGTCCGTTTTTTTTTTTTTTTTTTTTTAATATGAGATATGCAAAATGATATGATATCATCCGTAAGATTACTCCGTTATTACCATTATATATATCTGATATACATAATACAGTAATATATTAGGGCATTATGTACAGTCAAAAAATTTTTAATCGTTTCGTTGGCGAGTCTATTGGGAAAAATAAGGATATGTTCAGATTTAGAAATTTAATGTAATACAAAACTATTTTTACTCATAAATAAAATATTTTAGCGAATAAAATCAATCACTTTTTATTCTAAATTTAAACCTTGGTACACATTTTTAAATAATAAAATGCAAGCATCATTCTAGAGAATAATTATAATTAGAAATTGACAAATTAACATCAATCTAATTATCCAATTATGAATGATACCTTTTTTATTAGTTTGTGATTAAAAAAAATCTCTATGATAGGATAGGAAAATTCTATTTTTATTGGCATCTTTACACATTATTTTTCATGCTAATTATGCACACGCCAATGCTGTGTAATATGTTAAGTACATACGACGTATAGTTTTCATGTGTCCTAGCCAAATTGCTGGTTTGTTTTTTTAGCCATTTGCAGAGAAATTTCTTCGAAACCCCGGAAATATTTAGAAACATGTGATACAAGTAATACCTTTGTTAAAAATAGGTAATAAAAAAAAATCTCTACGTACGTAGAATGATCATTTTAATTAACCTATTTGGCTATTGTACATTTAGAGATGTCAAATCGGCTTATTCGGTTTACATCTATTAACGTTAATTAAAATAAAGAAACCATTAACGATAGAGCCGAATTTCAATAGAAAAAAAAATATGTTGTAAAGCAATTTACTTATAATATTTTGTTTTAATTTTAATCGCAAACTAATTAATATTAATGAAATATACTGTAAATGGATAATTGAAAAAACGTAATAATATTTGTATTGAATCTTGACACATATTTTCAATTTTGTTCAAATTTAAATCTGCGCCCGAATCTATCTACTATAAGGCCATACAAATTTAATTTATTGGTTTCCATAACTGATAATATGAAACTTTTAAATAAACCCGTCCGGCCGGCCGGCTTTTTTTTTTTTTATAACAATTTATAAATTTTTTCAAAAACTCACCCGGTTATTAAAATTTCTTATAAAAGTTTTCAAAATTTGACCCGGCCGGGTTATGAAAACCAATTAATTAATTTTGCATGACCTAATTGAAATAATGTTATTGTTAATTAATATCGATATGGAAATAACAAAAATTCTAAATTTTTCTTAAAAGATTTTAAATTGGCAAATACTTATTTAAAAAATCTGATTTAAATGGTTTATTTTTTTTGTGTAAAAAAAATTTTCATGTGTTTTAATTTAAGTTGTTGTCATGCTAGCTTCATTTAGTTTTTGCAAAACTTTAAAATCAAAAAAACCAATTATCCAAATACGAAAATTACATACGTATTTCTACGTAGAATTAAAAAGTATTCCAATAAATTAAATGTTATACATATGCATATACGTATGTAAATACTATGTAGATCATTATGAAAACTGGTAAATTCAAATAATGATTATTATCTGTTATCTGTTATCTATTCTCGTATCCTTACGCATATCCTTACGTATCCTTACCGTATTGTGTACTGTATCCTTGTTTCGTCATTATTTACCCCGACATGATGGACCATATCACAAGATCAGGTGTAACGGGAAAATCATCTTAACCTTTAAAGGGGGTTAATAATTTTCTCAATTAACTTTAGAGTTAGGATCATATATTAGGGTTAGGTTAGGTTTTAGGTAATCATATATATAAGCAAAATTACCTTCCCGACATTTTTACTTAATCCACCTGAGGTAGATTTAGACTACCGTTCTTTGTATTTTTTAGTGTTTCTTGTTTTGCTTTGCCGGCGATAATAATTTGATTGGCCTTGGTCACGTGAATTTTCCTGCTTTAGACGACCCCCCCCATTTTAAGGTCAAATAATAATTTCCGGAGCAGAGTGGAGGAGCTTAAGTCTGGACAATAGGTAATGAGAACAGGCGGTTTGGTCACCGGGACCAAACTGATCTTGTTTTTGATCAGCAACCTGGGCGACCATATCGAAAGAGGCGTTAGATTTGGCAGGTGAATGTTCTAAAGCTTAGGTCGCCTTTCCTACTACTTAATTGATGGGCTTCATGAAGATAACTCTACTATGCCACTTAGTAGAATATAGAAGGGTAAGGTAATTAAGGAAAGTATGAGTTAGGTAGTAGGACTTATTTAATAAAGAACTCGATTTTATAAAAGCAAACTACCGAGTTTTTTTTTATTATGAGCGAACACATTCTCATTATGTACATAACTCTTTTAATACTTAAATATATTTTAATACTTTAATATCCTAAATGTCTTAAAATACGCAAAACTCTTTAATTCCTTTTATCTCTTTTCCCTCTTTTATCTCTTTTCCATTTTCGTTACTCGTTTTAAAAATTACGAATATTTACAAAAAAAGACATTATTTTGGTTCTTATTCAGAAATATTGATATAATAACGATCAAACGACTGTATTCTACTTGGGTCATAATTAGACGAGTTGGATATTAAAATGTAATTTGTTACATTACTTTATACGTAACAAACAACGAACATTATTATTATGTTTAACATTTATATTTATTATTATTAATTTGAATTCGATTCTTTTATTTAAAAAGTTTTCTTTCAAATATACCTAAATTAAATAAATTGTGTATATGTATACGTATCAATTTTAAAAGAATAATGTTTATACGTACTGCTAAAAAGTTAAATGATTTTGATCAGAAATTCGTCTTATTTTGCACTCCGAATTGAGGTTGACTCACACGGAATTTTCGGATCCGTATCATTTCACCGACAATCATTTCATCGACAGCTCATTTAGCCGACATCACGCCAAGTGACAATT